AGTATTGGACCGGGCACTGTCCCGAATGGTCCCGAATGATACCGCACTTGTGTCCCTTTGAACTTCAGTCGTATAATAAATCTCTTATTAACCAAGCTTGCTTGGGACCGTACTGGAAGAATATCGGCCCTCGGTCTTTTTTGTACGGACCTCGCTGCGCTCGGTGCGTACTGTCAAGACTTCGGGCCGATATTCTCCCAGTATGGCCCTCGCGCTTGGTTAATAAGATATATATCTTCACACGTGAAAATATCGTCGCCACCATGGCTACATAAATTGCACCTTCTGCTGCTAAAGCGAAATGATTTTGTTTTTATTTCTGTTTATTTAATGAATAGAATATTACATGGCCACCTGGAGATACGAAATTTATGTTCTCGTGCTGAAAAGTATTTTTCAAAACTCAACGAGAAATTTGAATGCCATGTACTATCCTCCATATGTTGCGCTACCTTAATAACATGATCCTTGATAATTTTTATTTTCTGCGTCTATTGTAAAAGTTACTGCATATTTTTTCAATTAAAATCCTTAAACAAACTTTTAGTAGGTCCCAAGAATAATCGGTAGACTATTTCAAAGCTTCCTTTTGATTAATGCTTATTGAACAAAACACGCACTAAACCAGTTTTTATCACAGACACGAATCACTTACAAAGTTTCTATCTCGGAGAGATTTTTTAACTTTGGCAAACGCTGAAGTTTGTTACTGGAGAGAAAGCTTAAAAAAGAAACAAAAATAATTGAAAAATAAGTCAACTGCATTGGTATTTGAGAATTTCGGATAGTTTCTTATTATGCCATAAAAGGGACCTCGCAAATTGACAATAAAACTTTACTGTCTATTTGCAAAGTAATACATCTTAGCTGAGTACCAAAACCTTTTCTTCCTGATCTTGAGAATGTGAAAAAAAGGTGCCATTTGTACTTCCTCTGTTTAAATGGTCGTTTGCATATAGTGATAGGAATTCGCTTCTCGGTATTGGTGCATCGAAACTATGAATTCAAAGTGTTGCTCGTATCGCAAATCAATCTTGTGGGAGTTAAACGTAACATTTTAAACCTTCCCCGATCGCTTGGCCAAAAGAAAGTTAAGTCTCCAGTAAAGTGGAGAAAAGCACTGAGCGAGGCAGTCGAAATATCTTTTTAATTTATATTTTATTTTAACTGCTGTTAATGACCAAATCCACTTAAGTTAGCATTATATACCAGGGTGGAGAGGTGTTCCAATCTCTCTCTACCTTGTTATATACTGAAGCTATTGAAGCGTATGGGGCAGTTTACCTTGATATGTAGATTGCAATAGTCGAACAATTTTAGCATTCTATTTGAAATGGCCACAATGCAAAGGTTTTAATGAAACCTCAACAAAAAAAAATGTACGGTCTAACTAGCTGTTACAAAATGCCACTTACAGCCTTTTCATCCGAGTAAGGTTGCCAAAAACATCTTCGGGAAGACTCTGAATTTTGTTGTTTGACAAATCCCTTAGAGTATTTATTGAGACATATAGTAAGCTGACATTAAATTTTAAGAACATAAATTCTACTTAAGAAATGGGACAGTCCCACTTCTTAACGTATTTTATGTGCTGAACAGGAGCCAAAATCGGCTAGCTGATAGTACAATACTAGTTATGTTTTTAACAAAACAGGAAATGAAAAGCTTTTTTTTGTGTCTCTGAAAATATCAAATATGACAAAGAATCTCCAATTTGCAGCAACTGGACTCAAAGGACATATTTATTCCATGTATAATGCTCAGAGACCTTCTGTTAAGACAAAAATGGCAGGGACTCGAGACCCTTCATTGTATTATGACATCTATCACTTGACCACCACTTTACTCTCAGTCGGTAATTTCGAAAAGAGGCTCAATTCGAAAAAGGTAGATATAAGCGATATTTTCAACTAATTTTGGACTACCAACTATGAATGTTAATATCTGACCGGTAAACCTTTTTCGAACAAAGAGAAGTCCTACTTACAGTACTTTTAGGTTGTTATTACTGCTTAGTATCCCTCGAGGCAAACACTGTAACTGATTGTAGGACAAGTCCCTAAAAAATGTGTTTGGAGAATGAGATGATTGCCAGTTAGGAAAAAAAAAAACAAACAAACAAAGATTCAGTTAACAAACTCAATTTTCAAGGGGGATGCCTATTATCAAGTTCTTTCCCGGCTATGTCCAACTCTGTCATTTTAATTCTTTCTTGGACGACTGTTTTTCTGCCGAAATTGTTATCTGATAGAACTTAGGTAGCTGTGGTTCATTAATCAGCTGCAGTAATCGTTATGTAAATAACAAATATTACGCTCATACTTTAGAAAGAAATACAGAGGGAGATACGTCGATTGTGCAAGCCAAAGGATCATACAAACGTTACACACATGGTAGTAATATTTCTTGAATGGAAAAAATTGTCACTTACATTTCTTCCAAGGCTGACAAATCAATAACAATGTTGCGTGGTAGCTTTTCTAGCTGATTGCCGCTCAATCGCCTACATTGGAAGAACAACAAAATTCCGTTGATTTAATAAGAAGAAATTATGTAGACAAACAAGACTCTTGTCTAATGCAATTTTTATCGTGAAAAAGTTACAAGTGATAAAAAATGTGCGAAAAAACTAAAGAAAGATGATCACAACAAATAAAATTTTGATATTGCTTGCATTTATTTTATTCGGAATGCATCCAAATGACTGGCCGAAACAGAACTCAACGCATGTCAAATTCAAACTTCAACAAGACTATCGTTCAAAGGTATTCAGCCACAAGCTTGGAGAAGTGTGTACATTGATTTTAAACCATTCAAAAACGTTAAGAAGAACATTCGTTGTACAGCAATTAGTAAAAGTAACTTGCACTTATCTATCAGATTCTTCCTCGACTATAAAAGCTAAGTGTTTGCAAGAACTCGACAGTCGCTTTCAAACCTTAGGTACGCGTTTTGAGTGGCCAACCATTAGAGAAATTTAGCAGTTTTTAAGTGTCTTCCGTCATGGTCTCTTCTACTTGATACCTCATCATAGTTGAAGTGGCTGCATTCGTGGAGAGGTTCAATGAATTTAAACCCGAATATGATAGTAAGAATTGGTGTTCCTTGGACGCTGGCAATCTGGGTCAGCACCTGCACTGAGACTCGTGACCTTTTCCTCTCTCTAATTTACGAATAATACCGTCCCGCCCTGTTTGCATCATGCTACTTATGATATTTACGCCTGTCTGTTGCTTTTTAAAGCAGATCTTGACATTCAAATTTGGGTTCAGTTTGACACTGAGACAGATAGAACCGGATCATTGCATATTTAGTGGTCTTCGCTGGACAAATCGCTTAAAGAGGGTCACCGGATACCATTTTCCATTAACTGGTGCTGTAAACAACCTTGGCTGGAAATCTATGTTCTTACTCTGCAGCCCACTCTGTCTCGTCTTTGTTGGACCTTCTAAAAACGACAGGAACCCCACACCATCGTCATTTTTGCATAATTGAAATCATCTGTTCCATTTTGTTCTTGATGGACACGAAAAACAAAGGACAACAATATAGGCTACTGCACTGAACAAATAAGAGCGTGCGGAGTTTTAGAACTAAAATTTTCTGCCTTTCATGGTACCTATTCCTCCTCTCCAGGACTTCGCATTTTAGTCAGACGTATGCCCATACAGCAATGGCGGAAGAGTACACTCTTCATATGATTGCCTTTCGAGTGCAGCCATCGTCCCTGTTAAGAGTCTCCTAAGCTATCTAGCTCATATTCTCAACCATTTTTGGGTTTAGAAACTTTCGAGTGATTTGTTAAAATTTCTCTGGCTCGTTTTCTTCAATTTCGTTGTCGATATTTTTTCTTCAAGCAACATACATTCGGCTAGGAAGAAGTACTCTTAACTGTGATCGGTTGTTTGTTAACATTTCGGCCATTTTCTTTCTCACACCTTATGTCCAATTTCTGCGAGAGGCGTCATTCGTGGTAGAGCTGATCAGAGCCGTATATAATTTCATGTGCAAAATTAATCAGTACGTTCAATAAATCAAAAAACTGGCTATGAATTGATCATATCTAAAGCCAGAAATAAAAGCATTTGTAGAGAGCGGATCCTGAAAAGAAGAATTTTGTGGTAAACAGGGCAATATTGTCTTTATTGAGGGTTATGCAAGAGGTTCCGACACCAGTTCTTCTCCGGGACTACTTCCTAGTAAGTTATGGCAGAACCCACTCTAGGGTTGATTGGAGTTTAATTTTAGCAAGGTCAAATCGAATGAAATCAGTTCTGGCATTTTATGTTGTTTTTTTCGCCTTCAACCGGTCCTGTGATTCAGGATGTCTCAAAAGAAAACAAAGGTCAACAATGACAACTAAGTGATAGATGCATTATGTCTTACACCTCTCAGTGTTAGTCCACAGATAGACTCTTGATTGGAGGTTTCATTTGACGCTGAAGCGCGCCGGGTGCAGGTGAATGTGCTAGCAGAATATTCGTGTGTTGTAACTAGACTAACTGAAACTAGGTTTCCATGTTGAAATGTTGCGGGTCATTCCTGTAGTTCAAGTTTTATTATTGTACGTATAAGTAAAAGATTTACCACTTACAGATATTTAAGCTTATCCTGCTCAGCAAACAAGTCTTCAGGTAACTTTTTGATGTTGTTGTTCCCCAGCCACCTGTAAAACACCATACACAAGTTTTTTCTTAGCTTGAGTCTGCCAAGCCACATAGTGTTCTGTCACTGAAGGAAAGCTTTAGAAATCTACCTACTGTATACCTTCAACAAAAAGAATTCTAAGATTATAATCTATTATAAACGTTGAACTTAACATTGATTTTGTAAGTCATCTATTCTGTGTTTTTAAGTTGAAATCGCGTCTGATTATGGTAAATCTTGATGAACTACGGGACATGGAGAAGAAACCTGAAGTGATTTATTGATTTCTTTTGAACAAGGCACCTTTCGAGGAGAAATAGTATTGTCGGGCGGGAGGTGTCAACCTCCTTTCTTTACCAATTTGTTCGAGATGATTTATTTTAGCACTTGTCTTTTTTACAAATTCAGGTGGTTAATTGGCATTCATTCTCATTTTTAAGTAAAAGGCTCAAAACAATTTTGGGAAAGTGGAAAATCAATCTAAGAGAACGGCAGTCAACTGTCGAGAGCGTCAGGGCCAATGACTTACAGATCGATTAACTTGAAGCGCTTGAATATATCAGAAGGCAGAGTCTCCAGTTTGTTGAAGTCCAGGGTTCTGTGTAGAAAAATAATGACAATTGGGAAGTAGCGAGCAGGTTAAAATCCTAACATGATGTTGGATTTTGAAAGACATTTCTCAACAGTTCGTCTGACATCTCAAGGCTAATTTTTTTGATATTGAACTTTATATCTTTTCCACTTTGAAACTTTGCGTTGACTGAACTAAGGCTGTCAGAAAAAACTGTTGAAGCATGTACTTCAAATTCACAGTTGTTGTGTCTGGAACATTGCTGCCCGAAGATTTAAAACAAAGCTCAAGGCGTGAATACTGAAAAAAAGTTTGAAATAATCTTACTCGATTTATCAGTGAGAGAGATGTTTGTAAAAACTTATTTCTTTTCTTACACTCAGGAAGCAATTTTTATCCTTTTTTTTTATTCTTTTTTAATTTCAATTTGCACTTGCTCGATGATGAACGTACCTTGTCAAATAAAGAATGGTTCTTACAGTACTAGTGAAAATCACCGGTACAGTTTGCCATTCAATAGTTTTAATTTTCAGTCTCCATCCTGGAAAAGGGTGTGCTGCTAAAAGCTCTAGGGACCTTAAGTGTTAGCATTATTGCTTATCCGAAGGGTAATGAAAATGCAAAACTACTAAACTTACAAGTTTTGAAATCTGGACCAAAACGACCTCTTAGGTAGTTGTTCAGAGGAAAAATTCTTTAAGTTGTTGTTGTTCAGGAATCTGCATCGTTAAAGGAAACAATATTAGTAAAACATTAATGGCTTGATTTGATTTCCTCTGCCGGATGCTACTGATACAGACTTAAAGCACAGACTGAAAACCCCTCTTTGGCTTATTTTAATTGAGCCATTATGATGAGAGGTTTTAATTCGGTATCTACGTGCCAATGAGTAGAGCACAGACTCTTTGGCCTCTCGCATTCTCTTGTTGGATGGAGCTTATATAAATTATAAGAAAATGACGCAAGAAATTACGGAACAAACTATCTTCCAAGAAGAGAAACTACAAATCTTCTCGTACTCCTTTTTTGGTGGAGATTTTAGAATTCTACTGCAAAATATTACTACGATCACTCTCATTTCAGACTAAAAACTGCCTCTTTAGGAAGAAAGGTTGGATATTTAAAGCAATATCTGGCGCAAATAGTACCTACGGCGGGTTTAAATTAAAGTTTTCTTTATTCCTGGTATAGCCATCTTTGGTTTTGATGGCAGCGGAAGGCTGAGTAAAGAACGTAATTTGTA